GGCCGCGTGCGGCGGTGGGAGGGTGCGAGCGAGACCCCGGGCTGCGGGACTCTCCCCTGCCTCCTCCTCCTCCTCCTGCTGCTGCTTGTGTCGTTCGTGGCAATAAACTCGCACACGCGGGCGGCACCAGAGCATCAAAGCGGTTCTCCCTCGGTCTGTCCCTCCTTTTTCTTTTTTAATTTGGGTTTCATTAGTTCCTATGGTAACCATGAATATGTCTGAGGGACTCGGAGCTGGAGAGAATGAGTAGACGTTGCGGAGTGGGAGTGTCGGAGGAGAGGCGATGGATGGGGAGCCCCGGCGTGGCGGTCGGATTCCAGCCAAGCCTCCCTTGAGCGCAGGGTAATGTGTATGGGTAATGGCTCATGCGGTTTCCCTCTGTAATCATTACTTGTGCAAATTATTCATTAATGGAAAAGTATACAGAAAGCCTTGGGGGAACCTGCTGCCTGCACCAGCCTGCGAGTGCCCGCTGTAAACAGCACAACAGAAACGCTGTTGCTGCGCTTGTTGCTCAGGTTTTTGCTGAACTAATGAGAAGTTTAAATCAATGTTTACCACTTTGCGGAGTGGGGGGAGATCTCAGCAGACTTTCCTTTTCCCATGGAGCTGGGAAGGATTTCATTGCTCCTTGCACGCTGCCGTACGTGGTGCCCTGGTTTTGTTTCGGGGCCCGTGTGCAGTTCTGCAGCAGAAATACCGTTTAACCTCCTTTCCTCGCTATGCCGGGCAGCGAGTGCCGAGGGGCACGCTGCCGTGCTCCTGCTGGGGCCACACCGCTCGCTCCCTCCCTCCTTCCCCGGCCAGCGGAGGGGGTTTGCTCGGGGCATTCAGTGAGCATCCACTGGAGCTGTTTCAGCTGTGCTATTTGCGGCTAATGCCTGCCACAGCCTCATGACGCTTCTGGTTTGTGGACAGATGGCTTCCTTAAATGGTTCTGTAATTGGGGTTGAGCCAGAGTCACATTAGATAATTGTAAAAGCTTTTAAAATTAAAAAAAAAAGGTACTGAAAAAATAGTTTTGGTTTTCTACCGCCCTCTTCTTATTGCTGCAGACTTCTGGCTCGGGCAACAGGCGTAGGCGGTTTTCTTCGCTGTGTAACTTCTTAACAAAAAGACCAGCTGCTTTCTGCAAGCCAAGGAGCACTTCCCGAAGCCTTGTGCGTCAATATTGACTCGCAGAAACCTCGC